GTAGGTCTCCAAACCTTAACGAAGACAATGCGTTGGTCTCCTCTTCGCCGCCGCTAAGAACCACACCAACGATTCCAATGACGGCACCCATTCTGACGCCCAATAAAATGATGTCTCCCACGAGAACTGGACATTTGGGAGTTTACGGACCGCGAAGACTCTCAGAGCCCGATCTCAGCGGTTCCACTCCTAAAGCGCACTCAGGATTGAGTAATTCTAGCGGAAGCGGTAGTTCTGGTCGTAAATATATTATTTCGCCCGAAAGTCTTCATCTCTTAGTATGAGTTGAGCTTATATTTGAAACAAATTGTTTGACAAAAGTATTATTTAATAGGAATATCCGTTCATAACAATGAAGTCGTTTCCATCAAACCTTATACTCCATATCGGAGGTGTTGTGTCCGCCCGTTCTGTCAAACTATTAGGTATTAGTTTTACGAATATTGATAATTATGATTACATTTATTAAATGGACACACCATTAGATCAAATCAATAATCCGGAAGATCCCGAGACGCGTGACATTTGGTGGACTGAACTTAGGAAAGAGATTCGTTCGCATAATAGAGCGCTGGCCTGTAATGCGGTGTTGGGTTACACCGAAGCCACTCATATATACGATGAGATCTGCATTTTGTCGGCCTCTGGAACGGCCGCTGTTCTCAAAACCGGTGATTCCGAACACATCTCTAATTTGACGACAAATGCAAACATAATGTCTGTAAATGATAAGAAAGAATCCAATTCTGACGCCGAACACAATGTAATTAATAAAACACATAAACTGGACATCAATGCGGCGCAAAATCACACGGAAGACAAAAGTATTGGTTGTTGTCATTTGTGTCACATTCCATACTCGGAGACATCGGTGCCATTCCCGGCCACTCTAGTCAAGTGCATGATCTGCAAGAGAGCCAAAGTGCCGGACGTGCTCTTCATGACGATAGAGCCGCCCAAAGGGATCCCGATCTTAGGTCACGGGACGCTCATTCAGGCGCGAGTTTGTCGATCTAAAAAGGAGTCAAAGGGCGAACAGTGCGCTAAAGAGATATCCGATGTTTGTATTATTTATTATTATTACTCTTTCTTCTCGTTGTATCTAATGATGACATCCATTGATAGGGACTTCCATTCTTGGAATACGAATTACATCGACAACTGTTGAGTAAATTGAAAGTCAAAGGAATGAACGGTTTGTTTGGCATTTCAGTTCAGGTGTCTTTTGGTGAGAATATGTTGATAGCGGTGGCGACGGGCACCGGAGCCTTCCTCTCACCACTGCTGCCGCCATCGCCTCCTAAGATATCGTCCGGAAAAGGCATTCAGTGCGCGAAACTGAGCGAAATTCAAGGTTTAATTACGGAAAGTATTGCCAGAAATCGTGAACACTATAACATCGCCGCCAATA